ACTGGGGAATCACACCCCGGCCACTATGGTAAAAGGCGGATAGCAGATTATCCGCTGCACCACCCGACCAACCGCCTATTTACTTTGTATTTTCACAAAATAATATACCCTTTTCTCAATTGGCCATTTCAACTATTGAATGAGTCATAGTACAAAATGGAACGCCGGTTTTTATCACTGTTAGACTAGGCGATACCATCTTTTCGAAAGGGAGAAACCACCAATTCAAATAAGTGATATCACTGATAGAAATAGGTGATATTGCAGTATGTAACATGTTCGAATTTGTTATATCCCCTACTGAATGAGTGGTATCACCTATCCGAATCGGTGATATCATCCAATTGGGTCTAAGAGTAAAGAAGTGACCCGTATGGGACTCGATGGTGGCGGCCAGTGGTTCTAGAAAACATCAGCTTTGTTTCAGAGCTTGCGAAAACTACACAAAACGCCAATTATAGAACACAGCGGCGTTTTCTACGAAATATAATCCTGGGTCAGTCTATCAGTTAAGATTTTATTACATGACAATAAACAATGATGTCATTCATGGATGGAAAGTTAGTTTTGTGTTGTAAAGTTTTATAAAACAACGATGTCTCAAAGACCAAGAGGCCTGTTAAACTAAATCACTTACTTATTCTGCCATCCTACCATCACAATAATTTTCAGCTGATGCGACCAGACGATAACATTAAACAATAAGTTGGTTTGGATGATGTTCAGGAAAACAATTTCTGTCCAGGACTAGCCGTGTAACCTTGTTATGTGCATCATGAAGAACTCCGTTCTACTGTCGTTTTGTCTTCTTTTTAAATGGGTATCTTTTCTTCGTCCATCCTCTCTTCTCCAAAACGCCAAGCTTCCTCAGCATCTTATACTTATAGTGCCGCCATATGTATCACCACTGAGTACTTGGGAGAGGTTATACCGTCAAAGAGATCGGTTACGTTCTGGTGCGGTCATACCCTACTGTATCTGTCAAGGACTGAAAGTGATAGCAACAGGTTCTACACTGACCTTAGGAGGAAATGGACTTAGCATATGGTTATAACTTCCAGATATCCGACCAGCTAGGACAGACTTTTCCCTGTATGTGCCCACCTGATCCAAACCCACTGTACTCCATTATCACTCCTTTTGCTTTCATGGAATATCATCCTCTATTTCCCCTAGTCAAAAATCATCGAGTTCTTCATTTTGTTTTAATGATATGAGACTGAATTTATGTGTTAGCTTATCAGGACTGGTAGCAAAAACATGGTCAATTCCTTCAATTTCACATTCAGATAGACTATATACTATATAGTATAACGACAAGAAATGTATTGATCACATCGTTAGGATAGCATACCTTCCCGAGCTTGAAATCGAAGAAACTATGAAGACTCTTCTACTTCGGCCGCTTTCCTCGACCTTTATTTACAACATGACCAAAAGCGATTGCTTACTAGTCATGTTAAGGTTATGCGGGAGGAATTCAATTTTCCTGTCATTAAATTCCCCTTCCTTAATTAATAGTAGCTTACGTGTCGCAATTGGTTTGGTATTCAAAACTTTGCTCCAAATATCATGACTTCCGTGTTAGATATGTCGACCGCTGGCGGACAATCTCACAACACAGGATTCCCAAAGACGCAGGTTGATGAAGAAGACTATGGACAAGTTTCAAGGTCGTCATCGTGATCTCATATGGAAAAGTGCTACTTCTTTGTGTGATATGGAGGTTGTTGTTTTCTTTGTATGATATGGAGGTTGTTGTTTTCTTTGTATGATATGGAGGTTATTGTTTTCTTTGTATGACACGGAGGTTGTTGTTTCTTTGTGTGATATGGAGGTTGTTGTTTTCTTTGTGTGATATGGAAAAGTGCTACTTCTTTGTGTGATATGAAGGTTGTTGTTTTGTTTGTGTGATATGGAGGTTTTTGGTTTCTTTGTGTGATATGGAAAAGTGCTACTTCTTTGTGTGATATGAAGGGTGTTGTTTTCTTTGTATGATATGGAGGTTGTTGTTTTCTTTGTGTGATATGGAGGTTGTTGTTTTCTTTGTGTGATGTGGAGGTTGTTGTTTTCTTTGTGTGATATGAAGGTTGTTGTTTTCTTTGTGTGATATGAAGGTTGTTGTTTTCTTTGTGTGATATGAAGGTTGTTGTTTTCTTTGTGTGATATGAAGGTTGTTGTTTTCTTTGTGTGATATGAAGGTTGTTGTTTTCTTTGTGTGATATGGAGGTTGTTGTTTTCTTTGTGTGATATGGAGGTTGTTGTTTTCTTTGTATGATATGGAGGTTGTTGTTTTCTTTGTATGATATGAAGGTTGTTGTTTTCTTTGTGTAATATGAAGGTTGTTGTTTTCTTTGTGTGATATGGAGGTTGTTGTTTTCTTTGTGTGATATGGAGGTTGTTGTTTTCTTTGTGTGATATGAAGGTTGTTGTTTTCTTTGTGTGATATGGAGGTTGTTGTTTTCTTTGTGTGATATGAAGGTTGTTGTTTAGGATTTATTGTGCCTTGTTTTTTCCTCGCTGTTGGGACGTGTCATTACTTGGGTTTAACAGACCTAGATTTACCAGACCGGTTTAGGCGATGAAGCAGACGATGAGTATCCTTCCAGGACACCTGGTCATAATTTATTCTTGTACATTTCCTTTTTAATATTTTGCCTTTGTTTTGTCGATTTAAAGTTCGAAGTATGGTTTTGTTGACGCTTTGGTATTTCCTTGCTGTTTTCTTTTTGAAAGAAACTTGGATGTTCGACTTTTCAGTCTTAATTTTAATAAGGGGCGAGCACATCATATACGGAGATAAACATTGCAGATATCATACATAGTTAGATATTTTGATTTATCCCTAAAACACGAAAGAAATGCCAAATAGCATCCTATATATATAAAAGAGTACGTAGATAAAACATGACCTGAATATTTTTTAAGCCAAAATCCTTATTACCAACGATGTATGTTGTTCAGGAAAATATCCGAGTGGAAAAATTACAATCCACAGCATAAGTCATTTCAGAAAGGACAACATATCTCTTGATTTACAAGTATGTATCCATGACAACATGAAAAGATATGTACAGCAAAGTGTATATATGTTTGGTTTGGTTTGGTTTAGTATTGTTTAACGTCCTATCAACAGCTGTGGTCATTTAAGGACGGCCTCCCCTGTGTGCAAGATGCATGCGTGTGTATGCGTGTGTGTTTTGGGAGGCTGCGATATGTTTGTGTTTGTGTCCTTGTGATAGCGTGGAATTGGTGCCGACGTTATAGTGCTACCTCACTGAAACATACTGCCGAAGATACCCAGCAGGACACCCAACCCGGTCACATTATACTGACAACGAGCGAACTAGTCGTTCCACTCCTAAATATTGCTGAGCGTTAAGCAGGAGCAGAAACTACCATGTGTACAGACTCTGGTATGTCTCGGCCAGGGGACAGAACCCAAAGCCTTTCTCACAGGGGCGAACATTAAACTAAAGGCCAAAAGTGAGGCATTGTCAATGGAGACATTAGGAAGAAGAAAGTTGTTTAAAAAGAAGAGAAAATATAAGATCACAAATTTAGTCGCCTCTTACGATCATGCAATGGGGGCAGCAGGTACAATTCTTACACCCCACCTGCAGGGACGTGTATGTATGTACATGTATGCTTCATCGGTACATTGCATATGGAGGAATGTTCCGGGAGCAAAATACAATTTAAAAGTAACCTGTGTGACATGTTTCGAATTATATAAAGCTCATATCGTAACTTTTCGAGCACTATAGCATTTCTTCTTTGCAGATTAGTGAGACAAGGAGAGGTTATCTCCCCCTTTTTCTATTTAATATATATGTATCTGCTGATCCATTGAGAAAAATCCAGAGCCAATGCCCATTTCCGGATACTATAACTGTGGAGTGTGATAATCACTGTCTTGTTGATGATATTGTCGAAATGAAATTATAAAAGATTGATTTTTGTGCCAAGCAGTGAACTTCACGCTTAAGTTAATGGTAGACGAGTGCTATTCATCATTTGTTTTGGCGGGAAATTATTAACACTGATATTAATACAGTCCGCAACAATTATTCCTCATCTATATAACAGCGTGTATGATTAGAGTATATAAACAATCCGCGAAAGAATCAGAAAGTCAGAAATTCTGTTTGAAGTATTCTAAATACATCTTTATGAGAGTGGGTCAAAGATGTTTGTTCACGTACGATGCTGAATACAGTGACAAAAAAAAAGTCATCGCAGTATTCGACATTTGTCAATATGTAACACTGAGTGGTAGTTCTGTTAACGCTTAAATTTCTTTTCATGCTAACGTTAACTGTATATATTTTAATCGTGTTGAAATTTGTTTTGATTTGACTTCGGTTTTTTTTATTTTTTAGTTGACATCTTTTAATGATAATATTCAAAAACAATTTCATATTGAATTAACTTAAAATCTTATAGTTAAAAGCCAGCAGCGTAAATTGCATTTTTTCCCACCAGGGTAGATAGATATCCTCTTTCTTACTTTATTCTTTGTTTTTTTATCCTATGTCATATATATATTTATACTTTACTACATGTCGTACCTATATATATGACCAACGTGACTAGAAACTTATTCAAAATAATTTTATCCCTTTATCTTGAATTAAATGAGCTATAAAGGACTGATCTGCATTTGGTACTATACAGTATTTATAAAAAGAGAAAATAGTTATTCCTGCAATAAAAGTATGTATTTCTATTTTGTTCAGTTTGTTATCATATTGTACTTTGGACTGTACATGTACTGAAATGACAATTCTGTGCTAAAGTCTGTTTTAAACTTTATGGGTTAAAGTATATTAAGTTTTCATTTTAATAAAGTATTGCTTTACAATGTCAAAGATTTCCATTGAAAAGCTTGAATTAGTTTTATTCATTGAATTTGAAAAATAAAAATATTTAGGAAATAACTCTTTCTGATAAACTGCTTGATATTCAATAGCATAAGTAGTTTTATGATATAGACTATAGTCGAACAGACCGAAGCATAAAGAGCAGACGGTTTCAGAACTCTTCATTTGGAGGTAAATATGGCGTCACTTTGTGGACAGGTAAGTTGTCGTGGATGCAGAAGGCGTGATTTGAGTACTTTCGCTCGCAAAATAATACGGGTTGTCGCCAAATTCAGTTCAATAGTAATATGATGCTTCTTTCAGTTGATAATTTTTTTTTACCAGAACAAAATTTGTATCCTCTTTAAGTGTGACATTGGGGCACTTACTTGGTCCTCTGATTTTATCAGTTTATGTAATTTTCAATTCTATGAAAAATTACATCAACTGATAAGAACAGTACACTGATGCATGAATAGAATTCCTCTTCAACTTGGCAAATGCAACTGCATATATGGATTCTTATATTATCACAAATAACGGATAACAGTGTCTTACATGTACAGCTGTGTGTATGAAATATATTACATGTAATATATACACAGTACGTCTCTGGTTTATGTGATACTTTCCAACTTCAACAAGTTAAAGATAATTGCCATTGTAAGTTGTATCTGGTGTGTTATCAAACTTTTCACTTTGTGGGTATACATGAAGATTAACATTTGTTGTAACTGTTTTGCTTGTAATCATCCCCAGCTATCTCAAATGTTTGTTTTATTTTATAGATTGCTCGTAACTGCCGGGGTCTGACCCGAACAGGGTTTGCACCACTACGTACATATGCATCATCAGCAGAAGCAGGGAATTCTCAACCTGGAATAGGATTTGGTATGATACATATAGTTATATATGAACTGTGGAGACTTTGGATCTTTAGTGTAATAATTAATATATATAATCATTGAACCTACTTGGTTAAACTACAGAGATGGAGCTCCTTATAGTTAATGTAATTTAGATTACATTTCATGCTACAAGAAATATTCATATATTGGATTTTTTCACTGGGAATGCATTTATATAATTGACTGTATCATGAATTTGCTCTTTGTTTTTATTTAGGACTGACTGATGAACAGAAAGAGTATCAAGACACAGCCAGAAAGTTTGCCAGAGAGGAAATTGTCCCTGTTGCCCCACACCATGATAAAAGTGGAGAGGTAATACTATACTAGTGTGCATCCTCTATATCCAGGGGTTATGCTCACTTTCGCTCTCTACACCCCTGGAATATGTCATAGCAACATTGAAGGCACAAAAATAGCTGTTTGATTGGTCTTGGGTAAAAAAAACCTGACCAATCACTAGGCTGATACCTGTCCTTTGACGATTACAAAGGAGAGATGCCCGGCTTCAAAGCCTGTCAATTTTCACCGTTACACAGGGATGTGTAGTGGATGGATTTGCAACTCCGAGTCCAGTGGCGAACACTTATCTTGGCTTTTGTGTTTGTTCACTGGACCGTGAAGTCATCGAGGGCCTACTCTGGCCGGTCTGCGCTTGCACGCTAGTGTCAGATTATACTCGCACTTGCTTCTGGTGTCATGTCAACACATCGCTGAATCGAAGTGTTTTCATTGCGGTTATCGAGGGTCGTGTAGTGGAGGGATTTGCAACTCCGAGTCCAGTGGCGAACACTTATCGTGGCTTTTGTGTTTGTTCACTGGACCGTGAAGTCATCGAGGGCCTACTCTGGCTGGTCTGCGCTTGCGCGCTAATGTCAGGTTATACTCGCACTTGCTTCTGGTGTCATGTCAACACATCGCTGAATCCAAGTGTTTTCATTACGGTTATCCAAGTTTACTGGGCTGTGTATTATAAGGTCTTCATTTTATTACAGGAGAAATATTATCGTTGCCACCATGTCTAGCTGTACAGTAGTTGTGTCGGGAGATATTATCGTCTGTATCTTGAGTGTGTGCTATATTTTGGTTTGGACTCCGAGGGAGTCACTTCAGCGCTTTAAAATGGTCTCATCGTGAATCACACATCATGTCAACGTCTGATTTTCTGTCTTGGGATGATGACATAGATTTAGAACACTTGCTTGGAGAGTTTACAGAATATAGTGAGTCGGACATTTCAGACGACAATTTTGACAGGGATGTGTAGTGGATTAGTACTCAATATATTAAATTGTACACCCCTGTAATTGCGCAGATTCGGCAGTCAAATAAGTCGGCAAACAGTTCAGAGTATCATTAAATAAAAATTACAAAAATAAAATTGCTTGTTTGTATTACGTGCCATTTTCATTAGACCCTTTCCTACAAGTGTCCCGGATTGGGTACCGTCCCAGATAGGGTACCTCCACAGTACTGTAGTGCTCAGTTTCCAGACCAATAAAATCAAAAACACTGACATACCACAAATAACACCTGCAAAAATGACTCATCTTTTTAATTTATTGATATCCCACATTTGAAAAATGGTGGAATATAGGCCTATTGGAAGAAAATTTGATCAAAACAGCGAGATGACAACATGGTTTCACTGAAATTGACGCCATTTCCGACATGATACAAACATTAGCTCTTTTTGAAACAAAAGTAACACAAATAAATAATAACTCACCGCCATAAGACTACTCCCTTACAATATTAAATTCATTTAGCTTTACATTGCCGTTAATTTTGAAAAGCTTGTTTAAATACTTTGGAAGAAATTTGAAACACACAATGGGTGGTTATGTGATTTTTTTCAACCAAAATTTTCAAATGTTTACAAAAAAGTTCGTAACATAGCGGGCAGTTCCTGACCAATAAAAACAAAAATACTGACGGAGGACAAATAAACTCGGGTCTACACAATACAAAAATAACTCATCTTTTTATTGATATCCGTTGTTTGAAAAATGGTGGAATTTATTGGAAGAAAATTTGATCTATACAGCGAGATGACAACATGGTTTCACTAAAAATGACGCCATTTCCGACGCAAAGATATACAAACATTAACTCTTTTTGAAACAAAAATAACACAAATTAATAATAACTCACTGCCATAAGATTACCCCCATACAAATTAAAATTAAATTAATTAAGCTTTCCATGGATATACTTCATTCTAATGGAAACCATTCCGTTGAGGAGGAATTAGAAACACAACTTTGTTGTGTTAGCAAAACAAAATCTCGAATCTTAAAAAACAACATCCGGTTGATGTTGAACAAAGTGACAGAAAATGAAAAAATATGGCAATAAATCAATACATCGGGTCCTGTGACACCATCTACTACTTCCACCAGATGTAATATAAACAACCCACAACAACAAGATAAACAAAAAATGTAGTAATACCCAGTATTATTGGTTTGTTTACACACCAATTTCACGCTTCAACCACACTCTGATGAAGCCATAACTTGTCCGCTAGGGGGCGCTCATATCATAGAACACTGATCAAGGGAGATAAGCCAACCTCACTCGGAACATATTTACTAAGGCAAAGAGGAAGTTGCGTATCCCTCCACTACACATCCCTGCATTACATGACCGCAAAATTCGTTTGATGTACATCAAAGGATCAAACTGGTCTTCTTGTCTCATCAACAAGGTGGCGCACACCGAGCGTTCAATTTTGCCATGACATATTCCAGGGGTGTAGAGAGCGAAAGGAAGCGTAACCCCTGGATATCGAGGATGACTATTGTGAGGCATTCTAAAAGCTGTTAATGATAATGAGAATGCAATTTGAGCAGTAAACTTTTATATATCCGTTTCTGTAACAATATCTGGAGTTTCGGAATTATGAGAAATTAGGAATATGTGTATAATAATGATATCACACTATATACCATAAGATAAGAGTACTACATGTTTTATATTACATCATTGCTATGCTGATGACACACAAATTTACATGGTCATAAAACCACAGGACAGTTGGAATACAGTCTCAGAAAGTCTGGAAGCTTGTCTGACAGATATCAGTATCTGGATGAACGCTAACATGCTTAAACTTAATCAGGAAAAGACGGAACTAATCGTCTTTTCCCCAAAGTGTCAGCAAACAATGGCTCTCCAGCTCAAAGTTGGTGCCAGTACGATTGAGACTGTTCCAGCTGTTAAAAACCTAGGGGTATACTTTGACAGTTCTCTGAACATGGAGAAACAAGTGAACGCGATTGCCAAATCCTGTTACTACCAGATCAGGAACATCGGCTGTATTCGGCAGTTTCTAACTGCAGATGCATGCAAGATTTTGGTGCATTCACTTGTTACCTCTCGGTTGGATTATGGTAACGCCCTGCTCTGTGGTATATCTGACAAACTAACTAGTCGTCTGCAGAGGGTTCAGAACACTGCAGCACGGCTAGTTACTCGTACACGGAAGAGAGAGCACATCACACCTGCGCTTTATTCGTTGCACTGGTTACCTGTACGATACAGGTCGCAGTACAAAATTCTGGTATACACATACAAGGCACTGAATGGAACAGCTCCTCAGTACCTACAGGAACTTGTTACCCTGTATCAGCCGTCAAGATCACTGCGGTCGGAGTCAGAATCTTTGTTGTGTGTGCCAAAATCTCGTACTGTGACCTACGGAAACAGATGCTTTGGGAGGGTTTCGGCTACGTTGTGGAATAGCTTACCATCTGCTATTAGGAAGTCGAATACCCTGGCCAAGTTCAAGAGGGACATAAAAACTCACCTCTTCACGTCTGCATATTAGAATCTTTGCAAAGACGTCATGTAAATACCACCCTTTTATTTGTTCAATTATGTGCACATTGCTTGTTAAATGTATGAAAGTGATTGCAAGCCTTTGTTGTTTGTTTTCACAATTATAACCATTACTATTATCCATATGTTGTAAAGCGCCTTAGAGTAATTTTACAAATTATATAGGGCGCTATATAAATGCTGTATATTATTATTTATTATTATTATTATTACAATAATTGAAGTACAGATCATGTACCTATTGTAAGTATATCATTGCACTTTAATGCTCTTAAGATGATGTTTGCATAACATGCAATAAATGGGTTTACTGAAGAAGTTTTTACTGTCAATAATTAACTATTGAAAAATCTTGAAACTGTATCAATATCTAGTAAAAAACTTCAAAGAAAGCTTGTTACTATTAAGGTGTAACATATATATGTAGTGTATAAATTGTATGTGTGGCCTCAATTGCATTTCAGTATCCTTGGGACGTGATAAAAAAAGCATGGAATCTTGGGCTCATGAACGGACATATTCCAGAAAAGTATGGTAAGTGAATTTGTGTCATAGAATAGAAAACTACAAATACACTTTATATACACATAGGTGTCTATTAGAATGTTTGATATCTGGTGTTTAGTTTCCTTACCTGCCCATTGCTGTCTTACAAAACTAGACCTGTGATGTTTTCAAAACTGTTTCTCACATTGGATGTCATAGTGTTTCAGTGCTATCTAATTAGGGCCCTGCATTAGGGATACGGTTGCTGCATAGTAATCACAGTGTCTGTCAGCACTTTCGTTTCTGGATATTATTTCAGAATTGGATAGTCCTTATGTTTTTGAGAATTTATATCGTGATGCAACATGATATATGGAGATGTGCAATGTAAGTTTAAAAAGTTTTGGAGGTCAAGGTCAGAGCAACTCATACAAAATATAGACAATGGGTGATACATTCTTCCTTATTTTGGAATCCAAAAGAGTAACCTTTTGGAAGTTTTGACATGGTGATACACTGTGATATATGAAGATGTACTATGAAGTTTTGAAAAGCTAAATAGCTTCTCAGGTCATGGTCAAAGTCAAGGTCATTTTTACTGAAAAAATCTCTCTGGGAAGTGGGGTATGGGTATGGTCACACACATGACAGGGCCCCTGCTGACCTGTTAGTGTTCTTGTTCTAGTTTTGTGAAATATCATATTTCATAGACGTCTTTCATGTTTGTTAAATTGCTGTTAAAATGAATTTAATGAATTCAAGCAAGCAACTACACACATTTCAATTAATATGCTCCAATGACAAACCTATTATTAATAAGAATGTAAAATTTGACAATTTGTGTAGTTACATTGCAGATGGTAATTACTAAAGATCACATACCTAGTATACGTATGTATCCTCATTTATTATCTGTAAATGTTAAAACTTGCAGGTGGCCTTGGTTTGGGAATCCTAGACACTTGTATAATAACCGAGGAGCTGGCATATGGATGTACTGGTGTACAAACAGCCATAGAGGCTAACTCTCTTGGGGTAAGTGCTCTAGGCTGGTGTACTGGCAATCATAGAGGTAGAGGCAAATTATCTTGTGATAAGTGCCTAGGCTGGTCTGCTGAGAGCCAACGAGGCCAATTCACAACTTTGTGGTAAGTGCTTAGGCTGGTTTACTGGTAATCACAGAGGCAAATTCTCTTGAGGTAATTGCTCTCGGCTGGTTTACTGATAGTCAAAGAGGCAAATGTTCTTGTGGTAAGTACTTGAGGCTAGTGTACTGGCAATCACAGAGACAAATTCTCTTTGGGTCGGTGCTCTAGGCAGGTTTACTGGCAATCATAGTGGTAGGTGCAAATTCTCTTGTGTTAAGTGCTCTAGGCTAGTTAGGGCCCCGTATCGGAGTCAAACAAAGGTAAAAAGTGGAGGTCATTATATTCAAAGGTCAAGGTCAAATTTGCATCTTTTCACTGATAAACATTTTGTTATGACATGATGAAGCAAAGTTGATCAGAATTAAACAAGGAGTCAACTGACCAAAGGTCAAGGTCATTGGGTCAAAGGTCAAGGTTAAATTTTGTACCTTTTCCCTGATGAACATTTTGTTATGACATAATGAAGCAATGTTGTTCAGAACTTAACACAGAGTCAACTGACCTTAGGTCCAGGTTACGGGGTCCAAAGGGTCAAGGTCAAGTTTTGTATTTTTCACTGATGAACATTTTGTTATGATATCAAGAAGCAAAGTTGGTCGGAATTAAAGAATAAGTCAACTGACCAAAGTTCAGGGTCACTAGGTTAATGGTCAAGGTCATTTGGGTCCAAAGGTCAAAGACAAAGTGGATCTCTGACTTTGACCCTGGCTCTTGATGTAGGAGGTATATAAGGTGAAATAAAACAAATCAAAGCTAACAAATGAGTATTGCACCGGTATTTACATTTCTGTTAGCCCAGCAAATATGGAGGTGGAAGGAAACAAGACTCACATCATAGTACATGTAAAATGTATATTTTGCTTCCTTGCGATTC